ATAAGAAAAATGCCGAATTCTACAAAATGTGAATTGTACAATTTGTAGCCGACATCTGTCTCCATTATTCATCCAAGCTATCTGGGTTATTTAAAATCATTATAGCGGAAAAGCTTCCAGTCATCTTAACTTACAGTGTTGCATCTAACCACTCGATGTAGGGAGATAATTAAAGCTGAATAAGAAATAAGAGCTGAGACTCATTGGTCTAGGCAATCAACATTAGGCCAGTGGATCACGTATCTCAACCTCATCCCAGTTTTCAAGGTTTGGAAGCCCAAATGCCACTTGTTTTCACCTCAGTATACAAATTGTGGTTACATTTATAAAATTAATAGGCTGTGCATGCATCCTAACAAATGGCCTGTTATTAATTATTATATCAGCTCCTTTTGAAAAACTTTGACCTCAGTAGATAAACTAAATATCGATCACAAAAAACTCTAAGTAGTTTTACTCATATTCACAGGATATTTTTCATCATAAGGTTGTACCATGAAGCTACTATGGAATCTAAACTGCCCCTGAATAAGAGCGATAAAAACAGTCATTCCCACTAAAAAAAATGAAATGCACCAAGTAAACACACGCAAGCTCGTGTATCAGGAACTGAGCCACAACTATTGTGTTAAGGTTATTGACACTACCTGTCTGAGTGAAATGCGCTAGGTGGATTGCGGTTCGAACTCACGACCCACTAGTTGAAAGGAAAGTGCATACATATGAAAACAAAATAAATATTCTTATTATTCTTGAATATCTATTAATGATGGTTAGTAGCTGGTAGTGGAAACCAGGACACCTATTTCGTCCTATTTGAGACTAATCAGCTGGATGTACCTACCTCCCTTGAGTGTTGTTCGCACTGGGATTCGGGCTCAGGACTGATGGCTTAAATATATAATTAATGTATAATTGTAACACAGGCAATGTCGAGGCATCTGGATAGGAGCCCATATGCCAACAGAGACCGATCAATCAATCGGTCCAGTCAACGGCGAGATACTGCAAGCAACAACATCCCTGAATATCGTCCATCATCTCTAGGAAATATCTCTTTGGTAATTTGAAACAGATAGTAATGAGTTTTAAAACAGTTTCTTGAATTTCGCTGTCATAAGTAGAATAGCTATTGAGATTATACTGCAATCTATTTCCTAGTCAACAGATGTAGTAACCCCTCAAATAAAACGTTTGATTCTTTAACACTGTGCATATTTCTACCTGCAAAATGTGTCTAATTATTCCCGAAGGATACGGATTATTTCGTGAACGAGAACACACATAGTCTTCACAAGTGCAGACTGTTGTAACTTACAGAAGAATACTAAAACAGCTGAGTAATAAACTTCAGTCTTTGATGACCAGCTGGTCGACACTGATTTTTGTCGGGTAGATGCCTTCATATTTACCAATAGGAATGTGAAGTATACTTCTATGTGTAACGAAGAAGTATTCAAAACATCCAATAATCCTTAGCATCATTCATTTGCTTGGTGTTGGCTAACAGTGGGATCCAGGATACATGTTTCGTCCTATTTAGGACTCGTCACCTAGATGTACCTGCACCTCACTGAGACTACCAACCAGCTCCAATCGCCTCAGATGCCAATACGTTATCCACTAGGCGAAATACAAATCACTTTTGTCTTGCATTCTTCCCATTATCTGTAGGTCAAACAATCAAAGTAGATTAATGCATTTAAAATATCTTGTTGCTATGTATTTTATGACCAAAGCTAATGATAGAGTACATGACAATTGAACCGTTGATTACGCTTCTTGTCTCTAAAACAACCACTTGATTGTGCGGCGCTAAAGACTATTCTATTAAATTATGCACCAGACAGTCATTCAAGTTTATTTTATACATTATTTCATCTTACAGAATGAAAAACATCACTTAGTAAAGTAACTACATTTTAGTATTCTGGAGGTATATATTTAATGGTCACTGTAGAACAATCATTAGTCATATTTAAGCTGAAGACAGAGTGATAGATAAGTAGTAAAAACCTTATACTTTCATCAGATTGACTGTCATACTACTTGTCTGACTATCATAATCAGTAACAATAGTAGTAGCAGCATTAGTCTGGAAACAATACGTTTTATTCTGACTGCAAAGTTGTGGATTATTCGAAGGTATGATAATGCCTACTCTCTAGCCCTTTTTATCATGTGTGAAAAATCCATTCATACAGTTGTACACTTCGGTATCTAGCATAGTTTTAATTATACAGTAAAGATGATACGAGTAAATAAGCCTTTTCAATTGATTTTCTTCAATATAAGAAGAAAATATAAAATAAATGTGGGACACATCCATGGCTCTCACACCGTTCTACCTAATGTCTACTTCTACATTAGTTTTTAGCGCGATTTACATATATTTCTAGTTATTGCTTCTAGACAAAATTAGTAAGTAAACAATAAATGAAGTAGCGGTCAAAAAAAATTTACAACTGACTTTCGAGACTTTAACCACCTCCGCAGAAGAGAATGCAAATAACAAGTGAGATATCCCTCCAGTTTTCTCTTATCCAGCATCCCAGTGATCCATCCCTTGCCGCATATAGAAACACAGTCTTGTAGATAAAAGTGAATTAGACTTTTAATATGTTTGCTTCAGTAATAAAAGTTTCCATCCAAAAGGTAACTTTTAACATTTTGTCAATCGTCATCTGATATCAGTTAGAGAATCAATGCGAACCTGGAAGCACTACATAGCTGTTTTGTTCTAGTATGGAGCTGCTCAGCATTTCCCAACCCCAACCCTGCTAGAATGCGAACACATGGGCATTAAAGCTCACGACAACCATGTTACAAACTAGCAAGTAGGCCAGAATTCGATGGTTCACATTTCCCTACTTTCATTATTTCGCGACATAGCGCGACCCCCATCCACTGTCATGAGAGAGTATTTCTTCTTGCACTCCACATGGATGCCCCCATAGATCCTGGCTTTTTATTTAAACTTCTAAGAATCCATCTCGAATGATCTCACTGGTGAGCATTAGACGGAAATTTTAATGTTAAGGTTCAAGAAGAGTGACTGATTTCAGCAAACAAACTTCTGAGGAATTCCATGCCCAAACGAAACAGCTTTGCAATGCTCCTAGGTTTTAAATGGTTTTCCAACTGATTTTGGTCCCTGATGAATATTATGCTAAAATTGATCAGTCCCACAAACTTTAAACAAAATTTATTTTTAACATTTAGTAGATTAGACGTTTGCATACAGGCAAACATTTCATTGCTAGCGTAATCCCTGTGAGTCAATTGAATTAGATATTATGAATTATTCAAAGATAAGATAGCATGAAACACAGAACCATTGAAAGGCTGATGGTGTCACTATTCAGTGTCATCACTGATTTTCAATTTAATATTAAAAGGAGCTCAGTCTACAGATAACTATAGCATACAACGTTTGCTAGATTATTTCTTTCTGAGACGAAGACAAGATTTCAAAACTGAATCTGATTGAATTACAGAAGATAAATAATCGCCTTTAGACTAGATAACGCGCAACCGACTTTAGTTTGAATTTTAGTAGGAATATATAGTCTCAAAACAACACGAATATTTCTTGTAGGTCGGTGCCAACAAACAGAACATCAGTGCAGTACTTTGTATCGACTTGACACATTCATTCCTTTGACTAAGACAGAATGAAGTTAAAATATCCAATTATAAGGTCATATACACGTCGCACCCTTGATCAATTCACTTCATAATCACTAACCCTTATTTTGGCTACCTAAAAGATAAAATGTAGTGATTTGAGAAAATGTTTTACTTCAAAGTTAACAACTGTTGTGACCTTAGCACAGTTAACTGTTTCGTAAGTTTATTCCTAAATTCGTCACTACATATTATACAAAAGATTTTTAAATATTTTCTAACTTTCTCTTCTTATCATTTTGTCAGATATCTGGAGCGAAACCAAATCACTAAAATTGATCCGAATCGAATATCCCATCTGAAGAAATTGCACACCTTGTGAGTACACAAATATTTAAATCATTTATACATCGAAATTCAGTATTTTACCCTCCATATATATACATTACCGGTTATTTAATTTAATTAAGCCGAATGGAAATAATTGGGATGTTTGTTTTGGTGTAATTTCCAGTTCCAAAGAAGCGTAGAAGTTTGTAGGAAATTAAGTGGTTTCAAAGTACTGATCACTGATTGAAATCATCTGGGAAACCATCGAAAACCTAAGGAGGATATAGGATAACTGTTTTGTTCTAGTTTGATACACTTCAGAAATGCTCACTTAAATCCTGTTGCAGGATAGAAGCAAGGAAGTTTAGATATTGTGCAGAACATGTTACTATTCAAACAACAGATTGGAATGAAGCAGTTTATTTTCCCAACTGGTTTCAATTAACATTGCAATGCTACCATAATCCACTGTCACTAGCAAGTAACTGTAATCGCATTCGACTCCACTGACATTTCAGGTCATAGCCTCTCATCAGAACTCTAGAAGATTCATCCTGAAGCAGATAACAAGGATGTGGTCAGAATGAAATTTGGATTACACTTAAAGAACTTGAGAACATCCTGCAAAGTGCCTCGATTATTAAGAACACTGAGTTATTACAAAGATTAAAATGTAAGGACAAATAAAAGGCTTAAAATAATTTTATTCCTTATCTTTTGGTTACTCAACATGTTTACTTTTCACTCGAATCTCTTTCAGAAAATAGATAATAATTGCAAATAAAGACACTTCTCAAAGAAATTATTTAAAAAAAACAATATTCCCTTTGTTATTCCACTGCTACAAAATCTCAGGTTTCACACACATTGAAGTGTTTCACTAGTAGACTTGTTTACTTCTGCTACTTTTGAGATGAGTACGATGAAGAGGGGAGACAAACACTCAGAACAACGTTAACTGATATTATATTTCACAGATTAGAATGTTACAGTGTTCTTCAGATTGTTTTCTAGGCCAGTTGATAATGATAATCATTTCGATGAGTCACGACCAAATCATCTATAATAACGGTCACTAACAAAGAATAGAATGTGGCTTGTCTTGTACTACTTTCATTAGTTGTTCAGGAGCACTTACTATTAACAAGTGACAGAATCGCTAAAAATCATAATCGTCACAAGTAATTCTATACTTCACGATGCAGTTAAGGGTGCAAAATTAATGCTTGTTTTTCGGTAGGCCATAAAGAGTTAGGTTACCATCTTGTAATGTAGTCATCAAGCATCTTATGGAAGCGAAGTGACAATCTGAATTATAAATCAGTTTAACTGTCACTTTAAGACCGTTTTTACCACGAATTAAAGGCAACTATTAAAAACAGATTGGAACTAGAAAGCTGCTTGTCCGATTTTTGAGGTTTCCATAAGAGCATATCTGCAACCAATGAGACTTCAGTCCTAGAGTTTTTATATCTTATGATCCCTTACTGCTTTGTCATGGCTGAAAATCCAGTGCTTCAGCATTTCCAATCTGTGCTAACTTTTAATCATGGTGTGGCCATCAACCGATGCCTTAATAGGTAGGCATCACTCTTTACCTCTTACACGACTTATTTCAGATATTGGATATTCATTTGAAAGTCAGTCATCAATTATCATTGAATCATTTTCCAGTTCAGTGGTAATCCTTCTTCCACACTCATGCTAAAAATCAAACAATGTAGACCCATGCTAATCAGTAAAAAAGATTGTCATTTTTGAACTTTGAAAGTAAAGTCAATATTTTACACTTATATCCTGTTTTGATAAGAAATGCCGCGTAAATCTGATTATTAAGGCCGAATATGATTAAAGCTACTGCAATTGCGACAACTTCCCTATATAATAATCATTCCAGGAGGTGAAGTGAACTATCACTCTAACATTAAGTAAAAGAATAAGGAAATATTTCTTCAGTAGTGAATGAGTGACCAGTAGATTATGTGACCCAGTAGCTCAATGGTAAAGTGCTGACTATGGAACCTGAAGGCTGCGGGTTCGATACCTGGCGGGGTCTTCGGTGCTCACTGCTGAGGAGCCCCATACTGGGACGAAACAGCTGTCCAGTGCCCTAGGTTTCCTTTGTTCCTTCAACTGATGTCAGTCTACGATGAATAACAACTTGAAATATGTGAACTATCGTCAAGAGTTGACCGAATAGCATCCAAAACATTGAGCGCTAAGTAAAAGATAGATTTTAGATATGGTTTCTATTTGTATAAGTCACAGAGTGTTTGGAATGAAATATTTTAGCTTTGATCACTTCCCTGAAGAACTTCGGATTAAACTTTTGTGCGAAACTTTGGAAATATACCATTTCGAACACTTTACACAATTACAAACTATGTCTAAAATCAACTATAGCTTGGCAGTAAATGTACAAGAAATAAAGTGGCAATTTTTAATTCTGTGGTGAAATTTTGAAATTCTGTCCTGGTTGAAGTCCTCGAGAAGACAGAAATTGGTGGTTGATGTCTCTTGGTGATGTGGCTGAAAGTTGGTCTCTCTGTATGGCAACTTAAACCGATGCTTTTCTGTGTCAGTTCTACATTGATTTTTCTGTCGATAGATCTATCTTTTGTTCAGCATTGCAGGTTGGGTGAAGTTACCACATAGCCAGTTTATTTGTCTATATTTGAATGATATTTATTGACCTTGGAAAGGCTGATCTTTAAATGGTTTATTTTCACTGATAAAATATGTGTATGAATCCATTAATCTAAAAGGAAAATTTGAAGAAAAGCTATTCCCAAATTTGACTCCATTGGTGTCATCAGGTCATTACTTAGTTGACGGATATAAATGACTTGGCACTGAGACAGACTTGTAAAATTACAAATGTGTGCGTCAATAATGAAAACTCTTTTCAATAAAGCCATTTAATGTAGTAAGCTCAGTAGTGATTAGACCATTCTCCCAAACTAGAGCACTAACTTCCCCTTGATTGCAGATACTCTCTGCTTCTCATTGTCAAGCAGGAAACCCATATGAAGCAGGGCTTACAGCTGACTGGCTCCTAGACATACAGGCAAAACCAGCGTAGAACCTCGCACACAAGTACATTGGTCCAAGTTGCCAAACTTCGCAGTAGTATCCAAAGAACAAATTGACATGAAGGACTGATATCAAAGTGAACAAAGGTATATGAGAGGAGAGAGAATTTTGAAATTAAGGTTAGTTAGACTATTCGAGCCTTAAAATGCATCAAAGACTGAGCAAATCGACGCCATTGTGACCGATGTTAAGCTATTTTACCAAGAGTTCCTAACCGTTAACTCCTACCGTATCGTGGACTCAAGCCAAGTAGTCTACATCTCCTTACGTGGTCCAGACAAAGTCAGAGACTTCATGCTTTGGTGCCACCGTAGCCACTCTGAACTCTTTCTACAAAAATGAGTTTTTCTTGGCACTTCACGTCGAGGCATATGGTGACTTGGCGCGTGCAGCACATGCTGAAGCCATCTCAGTTGCTGAAGGTTCATATCCTCATAGACTGGCTTGTCCTCCTTTCCTAGTACACTTCTAACTTCAACATGGCTGACATAGTCATTCCACCTTGTACGAGCAATACCACGAAGGCATGCATGCTCAAAAGCTTGTAACTGCTTTATATCTTCTACTTTTAATGACCATATCTCACAGCCGTATAGTGGGACGGAACGAACTGCAGTGCAGTACACTAATCCTAGGATAATTAATAGAATGTCTAGCTTGCGTCACAGATGATGCAAGTTATGACTGACCCCCACCATCTAAAATATGTTTATTTCTTGGAGGATATACTTGACTGGATAGGCTTATCTACAAGATACTCCCCCGTTATTGAAATCCGTTTCTCCACAAAGGGAAGTAGACATATAAACGTATTCAACAACATTTCCTTCTATGCTGAAAAGAATTAACAGTCCGTCTATTATTCACTGGTTAAGTAAATAATAGCCTGTAATAGTCCCATGATTAATTTTCAACAGTTTCTAACGTATGGAAGAGTGATTCTCATATCTAAAAGAGACGTTTGGATAAGTATTCATTCATGTAGCTCCTTAGACAGCCATCTCATACATAAGATTTCCTTCCTTTTTTTAATGCAATTGTGCTACAGTGATTTTCTTGTCCACTGTTAGTCACCCTACTTCATGGATCAATCATTTGATTCTTTCTTCCGCCTTTTTATACAAATAGCAGATTGTCTTCATGACATTGAAATATTCAGATTTCACTTGCTCATAAAAACAACCGTGGTTTCATTACTGATCGTACCATCATGGGCTGGCATCATTGGAAACCTGGGAGTACTGGAAAGCTTTTTCGTCCTAGTATGGGACTTCTCAGCAGCTACGAATCGAACTCAGAACCTTCAGGTTTCATGGCAAACACGTTAACCATTAACTCACTGGGTCGGAGTTCAACGCTCCACAGTTTCTCACTTCTGTCGATTCGTAGTACAGTGCGGCTATCAACCAAGGTCTTTAGTTGGAGTCAGCTTCCCTTCTGACTGGCTGACCCCACAGGTCATGGCTTCTCATTAGAACTTCAGGATACCCGTCTGGAAGCATCTCACTAATTAGCATTATACACCAATGTTTTTTGAGGTTGATGAGAATTTACTTTTCACGTAGCATTCATCACGAATTGACATTAGTTGGAGAACCATGGATAACTTGGGAGCACTGGACGGCTATTTCGTCCTAGTATGGGACTCCTTAACAGTAAGCACCAATGTCCCGGTCGAGTGAAAAACTAGTTAGAATATCTTCCGAAAATGCTGTATCAGTGACTTTCATGCGGAAATTTAAGCGTAGATATATAATATGCCTCATTTACAAAACTGTAGTTAAATGGATTTTAGCCTGTTATTAGGCGGAATCATTATTTTCTACTTGACTCTCTTGCTCTTATAAAATTTACATAATTAATTGTTTTCATTCAGATAACTAACAAGTTTCCTGCCTTTAATATACGAGGTTCTTAAACCACATCGTATTCCAATTCCACAGTTCATATCTGCCCACCAGCTTCTTGGTTTGCTTCACTGCTATTCATTAGACCCTTATTCATTTATGATCATTGCTATATATGTTTTTAAGGTTTTATGTAGCTGAAAAGTTTATTGTACTTCCCACTTTATTACAAACCCATACACCTAGAAGGCTTTGAATATTTTCCCCTAACTTTGATGAGTACCAAGACAACAGAATCTAGTGAATATCAGAATGCCTGCATACCTGTTTTATCTCATTTTCTATTTGCATACTTTTCAGTCATTCACTTTTTTTTCTTCAGAGTTCTAAGTTATAACAAGCTGAGAGAATTACCTCCACGTATGTTTCAGAAATTAACGAATCTAAAAACAATGTAAGTTGATCTCTGTCTCCTTAAGTATTTCTTTATGACTGAGATACCCTCTATAATATCTGTCTGTAACTATCAAGAAACAAAAATGAATTTTGCACTCTCCATACTTATAAATTTTTCTTAAATACAACTGAAATCTTCCTATTTTAATAACTGTTGTAAGGCTAGATTCCGTAGGAAATTCCCTGTTAGAGTGAGGTGGAAATTATAGAGTTTGTAATTAAGCTACTATCCTATTTTTCATGGTGTCCAACAGTTGTTCAACCAATGAAACTGAAATGCCTCTGAGTTCGAGCACTCATGAGAACGCCATCAGTCACTAGGATGTACTTACATCCATCTGGCGAGTCACAAACGGGACGAAAAGCACACCCTGAATCCCACTGCTAGCAAATATCTATCACTGATATTAAATTGAAAAATAATGTTCATATCGAGACATCCGCATAGAGTTCATATGCCGATAACAGCCGACCAATCCGATCCAATCAATGGTGGAGCTTGTGACAAGCTATAAGCATTCACTTTTAAGCAGCCAAAAGAAGAGATGGTAGAAAATTTTGTACAAATTAAGTGCGGTACTTAGAAAATCGATTCTATGCCTACTAATCAAAGCAGAATTCTAGTGTTTATACAATCCATAATTATTTAATACACCAGGAACTTGGAAATAAAACGATTTGGACGGTGGAACTGACATAGTATTCGATATTCAAATTGGTGATTGAGTGGAGTAAAATAAATCTTGGTTGCGAAACTTTGATATATAAAGAGATTAGGCATGCAGTGAATGCATTTTCTTCATGCCATTTCACGTTTCCTTCATCTATGATCATCACGTATTACTGATAAAGTAAACGATATGATAGTATTAGAGGACAGTGGTTCTATCAACTAGGAATCTGAAGAACTAAAATGGATCCAGGAATAGTAAAATCGTGTGCACCAAAATGAAATGACTATTTAGCGTTCACTCTAGTTCAGTTATTTTTCAACTGTTTTCTTTTAAAAAGAGTACTGAGGACTGAGAAATGAGTATTTCGCCTGCCGGGAAATATAATCAAAAGAACAATATCCCGCTAATGTTTACAATTAGCCCACCAACCAGTTAGAGAAATATCGTTTGTAAAAGAAAGACAAAACTTTTCCTGCTTTAATTTGCTAAAAGCATAAACAAATCGCATGTGTATTGTTTGAACTTAAGTTTTGAATAAAGTATACAGGAAAGTATGTGTACGCGGATATATTTGTCTAAGTTTCGTGACTGTTTACCTGAGAAAAATCTTGAATTCTTAAAATATAACTAATTATATCATCGTTGTGAAATGAACAGAATTTCTGCCTATTCATTACTCACTTTCTTGTACATATATTGTTAAAATATACTTGAATATAAAGATGACAGAAATCTTGTTCTAACAAATGATTCATTGTTTGTTCAAACACTTACTATATATGATCTAGACGAAATTTCATTGAGAGGTCATTTGAACAATAGAAAAGAAAACTTCGTACTTATTATTCAATTTGAGATGTTTACACTTATGCAAGTGCAGGTTGGTCTGAATAGTTGAAGTTGACACTTCTCACATCTGAGAAGTTTTTCATCTGTCCAGCTGAGATATATGCAAAGTAAAAATAATCTACCGATTGACCAATCAATTTATTGTATACCCGTTTACATAAGTTAGTTAGTCCGATTCAGTTAACCTAAGCTATCTGGTTGAGTGGGCTAAAACTGAACAGGTATACCACTGATGAACCTAGCCCTAAAAGCGTAAAACGACCCCTCCTGTGTTTAGATCACTCTGATCCACCTGGATAAATTTGAAGATTGATTTCTAACTATTCATATTACTCGCTAGTGTAGTTCACTAGGTGTAGTTGAACTATCCATTGAAAATCTAGTTTCCTTGATTTTCGGTAACACTTTATTATACTCAATGATAAAGAAGTAATGAAAATAAGCTACGAACACATTACAGTTGGAGTTTTACTCGAAAATGAGATAAGTGAACCAAAAATAGTTAAGTTAGAAAGAATGTAAAGAATATTATGTAATGGTATAAGCTTGTTGTTGGGAACTTATGATGGCCAACGATATAACTTCCACAAATGTGGATTAAATTTATCAAGAAATACGAGTATTCTACTGTTGATGTATATTTCCAGGTACACTGTCTAGTTCACCAACTAAAATCGTTTTCTCAATAAGTCATCCACCTCAAAGAAAACAAAAGCACTAAAATGATCACACTACTCACTATCACTTACCTCAGTTCCATCATAGAGAAGGATTATTTGAAACAGATGAAACCACTTTTTCGTTTAAAAAAGAAAGATATACCTGAACAATATCATGTCTACATTTTGCAAAGTTTATAAATATATTCGAATAAATTATGACATGTAATAAATTATGAATAACACAGGACGCAATATACTGATAAATTTTCCGTCAGCCAAATGAATTATCTACACAGTTTCATGGTTTGCTAATTGGACGCTTCAGTTGGAAGTCATGAACTTTTTCTCTGGTGTTTGTATTCATATCTTTATTGCTTTGTTTTCTTTTCTTTTCACTGATAATAATTCCAGTGTATTAAGTTACAATAATCTACAATGCATTCATCCAGAAGCTTTCCATGGTTTATCTAACCTTCGTGTTCTGTAAGTGTTTGAAGGATACCTTTTTTTTGTTTTGCGGTTATGAACTCCATTTTTTTCACACACTTCAACTAACTTGTTCGAATTAAGAAGAGCGTTATATATGATTCCAGTCATTTTAAAACTGTCAAGAAAATAATAGGTCATTGGTAATAAATGTGTGTAGAATTTAGTCGATAGTTTTTAGATGGAGAAAGGTCAATCCTGGTAGTCGGTTCGTTTATTCATTGAAATCAATTGACAGTATTGATTACCGGTGGTTGCAGTAAAGTTAGTCGTTCATTTTGAAGGTTTATGGGGATTTATTGGTTTCATTGTCGTATTAATCATAGACTCACCAGGAAACTTGCAATTTCTGAGTTCGATCTCTAAAGGGGTATTTGGTGTGCACTTCTGAGGAAACTCAGACTAAGTAATTATAAGTATTTGCAGCTCTCTAGGCAGCGTAGATCCATAACATATTTGCCTACCAGGGCATAAACGTGAAGAAGTTCTACACGGCGTGGCTAAGTGATGCTGGGTTTGTGTTGCTGACTCACGATTACAGGGATTACGGGTTAAGCCTAATTCAGTAAGACAATGAACCTCCTCGTGACTCCTTTGGATATTAACCCATACACCTTCAAGTTGACTAAACGAAAATCATGGTTGACGATAGCCATATGTGCAAGATTAGTGGCACTGGTCTCCAAAGCATGAACGGTTTTGTTGACAGATAGGATTCCACCCAGTTAACTGAGACCGGTGCCACCGAAATGCAAGGTGAATTCAACTTCCTAATCCCAGTAGTCATCGTTGTCGTAGCAATCCCCAGAGACCAGTGTAGTCTTATCTTATAAAGGCGAGAAATATTCGGTCGGGAATACCAATGTCGTTAGTCCCAGCCTTCGATGTAATTCAGTGGCCCAAAGGAAACCACTACTCTGTAGCTTTCGGCATTATGCGTCCACAGGCCAGGTCTCCTAGAAGGATTGATTTATTTTCGAGAACTTGAGCTGCATTCTTTCTAAAAGTTGAAGAAAACTTCAGTAAGACGCATCCTACGAATGTCTGTCCACGAGAAGGTGAGTACGGATGAACCGATTACCTGGTAAATATGGATCTATTGAAGCCTAACAGAATGGGGCTTCTAGCATAACACTGATCAGTTTGGGGTGAAAGAAAGCTCCGGCAGAAGTGTCAGTTTTCATCTGAATCCACGACCTGGATGTCTATTGCTAGACTATGGGACCTATGCACCAGGTGTGTGATGAAGAGCTCATAGATCTAGAGACTTGCCTGGAAATTGGGGATGAGACCAAAACTAGTGAAAAACCGGATAATTTTATTCTTTTAAGTATACATGTTGAACAAAAGTGTCAAATCAACCTGTATAATCTACTGCAATGTCGATCATTTCGCCAGTGTTAGGAAAACATTATTATTATTACTATTATTATTATTACTTGTCCCCTGGGTTCCTAATGGAACATACCGCTTAAGTAGCATGTCTCCACTTCCCTCTCTTATCTACAGTCTTCACAATTTGGCGCCACGACAGCCAACAACCTCTCATTTCTTCCTCGCACGATCTCCTCCATGTCACCCTCACCTACCACACCCAACTCGTAACTTCCCATCTGGGTTCCACTCGAGTGTCTGACCTGACGCGTGATGTCCCCAGTCGGCCTTCTCAATGTATGCTCAATCCATCTCCACCTCCTTACACTGCATATTTGTTCAGCGATAGCTTCACGGTTAGTTCGTCCCAGAATTCCTTGTTGCTTATTTTGACTATTTTGGCCATCTGAGCTTCAGTAAGGAGTCAGCTAGGCAGTTGTTGATGAATGTCTGCAGTTTGTTGGAAATCCCTTTCGTAACACGCCAAGTCACTGAACCATACAGTAGCACTGACTTGACTGAGTTAGTGTTGAAAATCTGTATGTAGTTCACGTTTTATGCTGAGTGCAGTGCAGAAGATCTCCACACTGGTTTCAGGCTAATCAACACCTGTCTTGCTCTTCCGATTCTGACTTTGACATCCTCGTCAGTGTCGCCTGTAGTTGAGACAGTGCTGCATGCCTAGACAGGTGAAGGAGGCCACTTCCTTTAAGTTTCTCGCGTTGATGGTGATTGCAGCTTGTTGTTGCTGATGCTGTTGTTGTTGGTTGGGTATCTTCATCACCTCTGTCTTCTCCACGTTCACTTGAAGTTCCATGTTCCTACGCTGCCCTACCTCTTCTGTCAACTTGTTAGTTTTTGCCTGTAGATGTGTGTATGTGTATGTGTATGTGTATGTGACATCAGGCACAAGTCACCGGCGAAATCAAAATCTTCTAGGATCTTTTCCCCGGTGCAGCCAGTGTATGCCCCTCTTCTCTCTCCTCACTGTTTGTTGCATGATTCAGTCCAGTCAACCACAATCAGGAATATCATGGGTGATAGTAGGTAGCAGCCTTGTTTTACTCCCTCCTGTCTTCACTTGAAAAGCATCACTGAGCTTCCCCTTGTGGATTACTTGGCATGTGGCGTCTTCATATACTTGTTGAATGAGATTGATAAAGCTTTGTGATATTAGGTAGTGTTGAAGCAACTGCCTACCAAATTACTTCTCGGTCGAGGCTGTCAAAAGCCTTTTCGAAGTCAGTGAATTTCAGGTAGACGGTTGATTGCAATTCTATACTCTCTTCTATGCTGATGCGAAGCGTTGCAATTTGGTCCACACATGATTTGTACTTCCTGAATCTAGTCAGGCAGGCTGTTGCAGTCGTAGTTTTGAATCTAGTGAATCCTTTAGTCTCTCCAGGATGATGCGGCAAATATTTTGCTTGGGGTGGACAGTAGCGTGATTCCACACCAGTTCTTGCAAAGACTTAGGTCATTCACCCTTCTTTGGGAGTTTGACAATGTAGCCCTCCTTCCAATCAATAGGCAGGTACCTTTCCTTCCTTCCTTCCTTCCGTCCTTCCTTCCTTCCTTCCTTCCACACCTTCTGCAACAGTGGTGTGAGCATGTCCGCTGTTGTCTCTGCGTCTGCTCTCAGTGCTTCTGGCAGGACTCCATCTGGTCCTGCTGCTTTCCCGCACTTCAGTAGCTTTATGGCGCTCAGGATTATTCTGACTTTCGTTGGAGGCCTTGTGTTCACTTGTAGTTCTGTGGCTGGTGGTGGCTGCAGGTGCTATTTCATGACAGAGTGCAGGTGGTCGATTCAAGGGCTTTTTGAAGTGGTCTGCCCATCGTTTCCTTTGTTTCTCTTCTTTGGTATATATTGATAATGCGACGTGTCCACCAGTCTAACGTTTTCCTCTGTTTCTCTCACTGAAGCTGCAAATTTAATATCTCAGTCTGGTATGATTCCTATAAGGTATTATGTGTCAGGCGTCCAAGATATCAGTCTGGCATCTTGTTATTTCATTAGTTTATCCCATACGGAGGCTGCGGGACTTTCCTTGCTTTTGCTTTATGCAAAAGTAACTAAAACATGTTTTTGTACCAAAATGAACTCTTTTTTTATCGGTGCAAAATGTTGTAGCTACAACACAAAGTTTGTTCCGACTTGATGGAATTATTCTTACATATTATATTATCAGTTCTCGAGCGCTTTCAGTTGCAGAGAAAAGAATAAGGAAGAAATCCAAAAAATTAAGGCTGTGTTATATTTTAAAAGGCCTATGAAGTGACCTTTGGCTGCATATATAGTTAAAGAAATCGAATTATGAAAAGCATATTTACTCAAATCAAATTCATTTGAAGGTTGAAAATTGATCTTTATTGACTTTGATATATGCGAATTGTACACAGATATCATAAGGATATTTTCGGGTGTAATGTGATCCTCTTAGTATTAATTCAGGATCACGCTTAAAATTAAATACTGAAACGTTCTTGTCGTTTACATTTGCTTACAGGCTCCATTTCAAGCAAGTAAATCTTAAATACTGACGAGCTGCCACAGAACAGTTTGCGCGCAACACTATTTCAATGATAGACAGTATGTGAACTGATGATGAAGAATGTTTTTCAAAATATCCAGACAAATTCTATGGGCCAACTAAAAACTGTCCCTTCAGTGTTAGGTTCGGAATATAGTTTTGAGTAACAAAACTGAAAGGAATTACATCCGTGGTGGACAAAATTTCGATATTCTTCGCAAACAAAAAATTTATCCCTTCTTAGCTCATTCCCCTCTCTTGATCGGAGAGTTTCACAAAGGTAGCAAATAATACATTCCATAAAACAGCTCAGACTGATTAATGTAAGAGTAAAACTTGAGCAGTGAGTGGTAGGATGTCATTACATTTTGGTTGATTAATTAGATGCATCTCATAATAAAGCAGCATTATTTAGTGGATTATGTTTCACACATTATTTATTGTTCATAGTCATATCAGGATCAGTTAATATGACTATGTGCAATAAATTGTCATAAACACAATCCAGTAAATAATACTGTTCCACTGTGTGATATATTCAGTGAATCAACCAAAATAGAGTCCAGCTTCACCCTATTCTGTAGCATTAGAATAAGTTGTGTGTACAAACGATCCTGATAATTGTAAACGTTAAGAAGAGTCCTTGTGTAGATAAAAGCAACTATTTGAAGATTTAAAAGTTACACGATATAAGAACAGTTATGATAAACAGCGATGTGGAATGAAACTCAGCTGGTTAACCTGTGGGATTTCACGGTAAACTAACAGCATATTTTGAGCGAATACTTCTCTTAAAAGAATCTGTGGTATTTTCGATATAAATAATAGTGGTATGCAAAAAAATACCCCCTATACTAACTGCAATCCCACTTGCTGAAATGTCAGATTGGTAGAAAAAAAGTAGCATGTTATCCAACAGATAAAATAATCAGTTCTCTTTCCCCCATGAAATTAAATATGTACTCTAAAAGGAGGTGAACAACGTATATAAATGTTTCCTGAAATTCGTTTTTTAATCTCCACAGTCATTAAAATGAATGTACAATGAAGTCAATTCTAATTGCCATCGTCATATCGTAATCTATTACTAATGTGATGCTATTGAACACCATATCACACATACTCTAAGACTTTGTTCAGTATTGCCGAAGTTCATGGTGAAGACACCATTTATATTGCGAAATATGATGCATAGATACGCGTAGAATGCGAAATAAATGACAGACCAACTGAGATTACGTACGTATACATACATGTTCTGTAGTTTTGAGAATGACTTACAGCGTTTGAAGGTTTTTCAGCTTGAATAAACCTGAGTCAATTGTGATCGATTTAATCAGGTTATTTCTCAAATTTCTGCAATGAAAAGAGGCAAAACATAAGTACATACAAAACAAGTGACATAAAGCTGGATTATAATTTGAAACTATATCCACCATGGATGTTTTGAATATGTGAACGAATTTGTTCACTGTGCCTGACAATCATTATAAAATTGTAGAGTATGAAGCCAAGAAGTTCAATTTGTCTTCTTCTCTACCATAGTTGGTTTATCAGTTATTTACGATAGATTAAAGGAGTCTTATATCAATCTAAACAGGAACCTATAGGGTTTATAATAGAGCCATCAAGCAATTCCTTTCGTTTCTAACACCTAGAACGTATCCATCTGATGCTTATCCATGGTTTAAACTATTTCCCGAAGATAAGTAATAATTACTGGCAAGTAGACTAACCAAGTTCAACAGAAACACCGACAAATCAGATATTATTGATGATTACATTCTCTAATACAGTCTTAATATAGTAAATCATGGGTAGCTAGAGATAAAGTACAACCTGGAATTTGGTTAACACTTGAAGCTTTTTAATTACTTATTACTTTTGAGTGATACATTGGTGCCTCCGAAAAATCTGAAGGTTTCATATTTTGTCTTGGACACATTCAGTATGAAGCAATACACAAGAATTTCTGTGAAGACTTGCTAAATAAGTCGTTAGCAATAACCCTTACTGAATTTCCAAAGACACCGATTTCGCTAATTTAAACGGTAAAAAGACTTGTAATTTACTTTCTTCAGAAAATAACTCACAGTTCCTTTGTGTTCAATGGTAGATTGTCAGGTATATCCATTAATTCCAAACTTGAACAATCGACGCTAAAACCACCTGAAATAAGACCAAATTCATCTGGTCTGAATACAGACTCTGAATTTGCGTGCATTCTAGGCTTGACTGTGATATCCATACATTTACATCCTTCAGGACATTGGTGGTTTACAAATTCACAAGTTTCATTCTCATTTTTATAGGTAATGATACCTGGAACATATGAAATAAAAGGAAAGGCGCATATAAATGAGATATAAGATATTTACCTTTCTGAAGAAATGTTTCTCATAGCTGTACATTCATGAATAAACAGTAAAAAGAATAGAACATTCCGAAGTAAGTCCTGGTCAATGATCAATATAAACCGCATCACAAGGGAAAGTTACACAATGAGAAAAATAAATAAAATGATTACAAAATAAAAATGGTTGTGTCACATGTGGCTTATTTAGAGCGAGCTATAATTTATGATGGCCATGGCAACGAAGGAGTTCGTGCATACTTTTTTTGAGCACATAATGATTGTTTGAATTTTTCAATCACTAATGCTAAAGCCTTTCCCAGATACCTTAGTCACACTCCTTTTGAATGATTTTATCACACTTTGTACACAATTTTTAAAGGTTCATCAAAAGGCGTTAAACGTCATGCGTTTACTGTGTTCTGTTATGGAGCTGAGTATGCATTTCCTTTATTCTTTTGTCAGCCAAGTTGGATAGTGTTAGCGAGCATGTTACATCAGCTAGTGCATGGTAGGGCCGATGTACTCGGCTTCACATGAGCAAGCAAACTGATATACACACACTGATGTGGTACAATGCTCCGGCTTATTCTTTGCCTTCCGACGAATGAGTTTCTGTAGGGAGAATATGATTCTAGGATTGGGGGCAAAAATGTTCTGTTTACAGATGTCGATAGTCGCTTTCCAAGTATATCTGCTGCATTATCTCCCTTGAATTCGAGGTTAGGCAGTCAGATCGTTTACTGAGCATTATGCACACGTACAGTGGAGTTTTTTCGGCTTTAGATTCTTGTCGATAAACTTTAGTGGGTGTTCGTTTTTCATCAGAATTTCTAGAAAGTTTTCTAGTTCATCACGGATGCTATCTTTCATGTATATTCTTCGTATTCTTGAGGAGAGTGATATGATAAGATTCCTCTTTCTGCTTTAGGACACAGTCTTGAAAATTAACAAACGGCCCGCTTCAAGTGGGCTTTCAGTAAACAGATCTCCGAAGTGAACTGACATCCTTTCTTTGAAGTTGAACCTCAAAGAAGTGAAATGTCAGGCTTGATTCATCTTCTGGAGTGAATTTACTAGAGGGATGAGCACAACTGAAGTTTTGAAGCAGGTTTTCGAAATCCTTATCGTTGTCACAAATAACAGTTATCATCTCTTTATCTTTCGTAGAAATGAAACTTGTTGACTTTTTCGATAATATAGTGTCTTTCAGGCCAGGAGGGGTCTATTGTTGATCCCATACCCACATCGCCTATCTGCCTGTAGATTTCGTTGATAAATCTGAGTGGAACGTTAAAAGTACATCTAAGAAGAAGTCCCCTTAGTAATTGATTTAGGATGCCTATGTTTACGTTGTGAGACTGGGTGAAGTAACACAAAAAAGAAAGGGGTTTCGATAGTGGGACACTTGTGAATAAGGAGATGGAATTCAGAGAAATCTTCTTCCCTGACACATTGACATTTTTGATCAAATCAGCAAATTCAAATGTGTCACGCAGGCTGTTTCAAAGTTACATTCTTGACTGGATTCATTATCTTGACCAGCCAATTTGCAACTGAATGGTAAGGAGAACTGATCATGTAACGAATGAAGGGAAGCACCGTCATTGTGCACGCTGGGTAGACCATTTGATCAAGCGATCAAGGAACCTGATAGATGGAGTTGTTCATAGAGTTCAGTGCTGATCACCGCTTCCGTTTCCATCTTCTTTAATATCTTGGACAATTTACACTTTATTTCATCGGTAGGCTCTTTCTAAATTGTCTGTTTTTGAAACTTGTTTAAATCTGATAAGAGTGAAAGCTTATCTATGTAATCAAATTTCTTCAGAAGCACTATTTAACCATCTTTGTCAGGGTGTAACGTGGCTTGGTTTCCCCTTTCTGAAGATCCTTTAGATGATTCCTATCTTCCTTTGATAGAATGTGTCGCGCATCAGATTTTATATGCATGTAGTCATACAGTAATTTAGAACAGTGGATTTAAAATGGTCAAGGTCACTAGATGAGGTCAGAATTAGGTTTTTCTTTTGATGAATCGAATTCCCAAACTGTACTTTTGTGTTAAGCTCATTAACTTCGGATGTCATTCACAAAAGGATTGGGACATAGGTATCTGGGAAAGGCTTTAGCATTAGTGATTGAAAAATTCAAACAATCATTATGTGCTCAAAAAAAGTATGTACAAACTCCTTCGTTGCCATGGCCATCATAAATTATAGCTCGCTCTAAATAAGCCACATGTGACACAACCATTTTTATTTTGTAATCATTTTATTTATTTTTCTCATTGTGTAACTTTCCCTTGTGATGCGGTTTATATTGATCATTGACCAGGACTTACTTCGGAATGTTCTATTCTTTTTACTGTTTATTCATGAATGTATAGCTAAGAGAGTGATTTACTCGAAAACAAAAATTTTTCTTCTATCCAATTTTGTGTTTTCCCATGTTTAGATGGGATTGTTTATATAAATAGAACATTCTAAGAAATAGCACATTAGAATCATAGGTATGTATGCAGAAATTTGAAACATTTCATTTAACCACCTGATGATTACTTTTCTTTACATCATTGAAAATGTTTTTTAATTCACCGTATTTCTATTTCATGTCAAAATAAAGCTGCATTTATATACAAGGTTTGATACTGAAATCCAGTGATTCCTCATTTTATGAAGTTTGAACTGCGGCAAGCAACGTGAAATTTTCACACTTCTTATCTGATTCTCATACATGGATATTCTGAAATATGCTACTGAACCATAGGTGCAGTTGGAAATCACTTATGCTAGTCTGTAGATTTCCCTAGTCAGAATGGATTGATCTTAACATGAGACGACTATCTCATTTGTTTGGAACCGAGCACATCAGCGGTGCAACTGAATCAAGTCAACTCATGCAATAAAACAGTCCAAATCCGGGAAGCGGGATGATGAAGCATTATTATGCCTTAAATAGAATGACCAATTCACAAGATATTCACGAATAGCACTTATATTGCGCCCTTAACTTTGTGTAATAATTCACTTGCCTCTTTTTTGCTTTCATCATCAACAAAAACCTTTAGCTATGGAGGTGGATATTTCCATCTCAGTACAAGACTCAAGTCTAATTTATGATTATGAAATGTATACGACACAGTTGCTACTGGAAGTGTGTTGAACGAAATTACTGAACAGCAGTGGTAATCAGATTTTGACTGTTCAGTGGTAGATGAAATGATTTTCGTTTTCAGAATAAAAAAAGCTTCAAAAATACAGATCTGTAAACATATAGGTCGTTTCAAGTCTTTGCTAATAATTCGAAGTCAGCTGAGAGGTTTAACAACCAGCAACTCAGAATCACAAGGACTTCAACTTTACAGTATATACAACCTGAAATTATTCCACTTCTTTGCGAACATTTCTCGTTTCTTATTAGGTACATTTAATAATGTAATAGTAAACGGAAATGATTAGAGTTTTATCTATAGAATGACACTCAAACCTCTTAGAAGCAGTGTATATGACAAGGGCACGACCACCTCTATCTTCGTTCACATTAGAGTAGGTTAAAATGTGAGTTTACACGTGTATGAAACTGCAGCTGAAATGATCAATTTTGCCAAATATGAAAATAAAGATGTGGCAAAATTGAGAAGTAACGAAGAATTTTAAGTAGCTCGGTGATTTGCTGATCTGTAGAGTATTAACGAAACTTTCATCCTTCAGATGATGAGCACCTCGGTAAACATTTATAGCATGAGAAGTGAGTTTTTAAGAACAACAAATAGAAATATGTGTCTAAATAGATATAATGGAGGTTTTGAATACATCTAGTTTCTTCTCACATCATCAGAATAGATAATCTACCCACCTCTGTTGAAATTTTTAGAATTAACTTCTGATGGCCTAATTTAACATATTGATTACGCTATAGTGAAACCATCTAGTTGTAATAAACATACTGGGAACTAAAGAGGCTGTTGCTGACTAATTAAATGCTTCATAGATGAACTAATAACTCTTAGCACTTAGTACAGATACTGATAGTGAATGTGTGTATGTAGTATAGAGTAAGAAGTGAAGAAAAACTAAACAAAATTTAGGATGAGAATAGACTTATAGTTTCCTGTTAATGACACTCCTAGGCCAACACATCGATTCTGAAATAATTGGCCATAAAATTCGCTAGTTATATTAAAGTAGAACTCCAATTCTCAAGAAGAATCCAGGAAGTTCAAAAATGAATTCAAGATTGTCAAACAAAGGACAAATTTATTCATTAGGTCACCTAGTCACTGATTGCCTTTTTTTTTGGGTGTTTCAACTTTACTTTCTAAGTTACACCTTATCTAAATGAAGAAACAATTTCCCCCTTACTGTCTGGATCCCAATATTCTTTGCTAGAGTAGGTCATTTCCACTGCATATGAAAGGGAATGTTACCAACTCATGCAGTAATCAGTATGCTTTGATTAATCGTCAATCGTAACTGAAATACTTACATGCCATCATAGTTAGTTCCTTGTTTTTCAGAGAGCGCAAAGACTAATAATTTTTACTGAATGTTTATTTTGCTTACCTTCTTTTCAAGACTTTGCAAGCGTTAGAACTCTTTAGAAAAAGAAACTTAAGCGTGATTCATTTGATGTGGCTTTTCTGCCTATTATGTAAGATAAAATATAGATAAGAGACGAGTCAATCATACTTTTACAGTTAAGTGAGCCTAGGCATATAATCTTCTTTTCACACTACAAGGCAATTCCGTCGTCACTGACAATAACTCAACTTAAGTAAATCCAAAAATATATAAAGACATGATTGATGAAAGGTGGTTTATGAAGAATCAGAAACCAAATCTACCCATTTTAGTGGAGTTATGATTTCAAATATTCGTGGATTGAGATATTTCACAAAATGACACATCATTTTCAAGAGAAATAACTTCGAGGAGACACTTGTGGGCTAAGTTGCTGGATGCAAGCAATCGAAACATCAGTCATCATCAGAACTAGATATAATTTTAATGGGGATTCGAACATTGAATAGCAACTGTTAATCGGAAGAAAGGTTTCATATGTGGACTCAAAGTAATGAACATAGTGAGGTGACCATTCTTCAATCTGAGTATTTGAGATTACATATGGAAACGAAAAGAAATGTCTGCTTTTTTGTACTTAATAAAATCTGCACAAGACATTGCTGGATCGATAGCTATTTTTTGGAATTATTTACGGCAAAAAATAGCTATAGTGTGAGCCTGATAGCAACAGCCAGGTATCCACTTATATGTAGATGTGAATTTATGTTTATTTGCATGAAGAGAGAGAAGGAGAGACAAAACGTCCAATCATGTACATTTAAGTTGCAGCAGAAACTTACTTGGACATTGTAATATATGCGGTAGTAATTCGCGTACATGACTACCTTGAACATTTAATGGTTCTGCACATCTAGCCCACTGTGTACCACCAGCTTCTTTTTCAGTTAGAAAAGCTGGTAACCAAGCAGCTATCTGACAATCGCATATAAGTGGGTTGTGAACTAAATAACTTTGTTATTCAAGGAAAAGAGACAAAGGTAAACGTTGTATAAGTTTATCGTATTCAAGTACAATCGAGAAAAATGTTTGTTTAAGTTATCTAAAGCATCTGAACACAGTGAAATGATTTGCATTTTGACAACAGTTTCAATGATCTGCCATGATGAAGTATAACCATGAATTAAAGATGAATCTGTCTTAAATAAAAAGGTTAACAATTATCAACTGGACAGTGCGAACAAAACAATAAAAATACATCTATGACTAACTATTTGCTAACAAAGTTTACCTTGTTATTAGTGGTAACGATCAACCACTTTTTCCATCAGCACCTGCTCAGAATAAAAATTGTTGAGACTGTTTAATGAAAAAAGTGATTAAACAGGTATTTCGGAAAAAAATCTGATACATCGTTAAAAATATTAAATACTATTTCCTTATAAGTGAAAAACTTGGGCACTGTGGTAGAATGTAGTTCCATATTAGATTTGTTTATTTGATATAAAGCGCACAGTGATACAGTATTATTTACTTGATTACGTTTCGAGCATAAATTATTGCTCATAATCATATCAATGTAATCACACTTCTTTCGACATCTGATTTTATAGTCCTGTCACCTGATCTCTCTTTGTTTTTTTGTTTTTTGATTGGTAGTAAAGTTTTCCATATCTCTGGTATAGGTGTTGCGTCATTCCTATTACATGTGTTGGGTGTGAATTCGATGAACAAAGATTCAGTAATTAATCTCTCTCTCCACCTAGCTATATTAGACTTAAGTACAGTGGTTTTGTCCCATCCTATTGTGTGGTTGTGTGTTAATGAATGTAATGCAATGGCTGAGTGTTTTTCTAGGTTATTGATCTTATTGGGGTCTGTCGTTCTATGTTTAGCTAAATTCCTATGTTCTGTTAATCTAACTGACCCCGACCGGCTAGTTTGACCTATGTATTTGACTTCACAGTCATTACATGGAATTTGGTAGATTATATTATTTTGCTTAATTGGTTCTATCGGATCTTTTAGCCGACAAAGCTTACCTCTAAGTGAGTTTGTTGGTTTGAATGCCACCCTAATTCCAACCTTGTTGAGAATCCTACGTATGGTTTCTGATGTTCCTTCCTTGTATGGTATCACAATAGAGGTGCTGATCTCCTTTCTACTTATGTTGTCACTATTATTTGTATTTGTATTAGTGTTATTATTTTGCTTCTTATGCGTCCGTGTGAATTTCTTAATAAAATGATGGGGATAATTATTAGTTATTAACGCTTCTTTTATGTGTTTCAATTCCTTATTTAAGTCCTTACAATGACTAGTGAGTTTCTCAGCTCTGTTATTTAGACATTTGACTAAACCCGCTTTAACTGACACTGGATGAGATGACTTGAAGTCTAGATACAGTTTCTTGACGTTACAAGTGTTTATACTATAATACCAATCAATATGGCACTGGAGGCAGTCAGAAATCAACTAGATACTGACTCACAACTTACTCAAAGAACCAAGGCATCGGTTGGTGAAATCATGTTAGGAGTGCAGTTATGCTTAACCTCGACAGTCTTCAAGTTTCAGGGAAAGATATACAGACAAACAGAAGGAGTAGCAATGGGATCACCAATATCCCCTATAGTAGCAGATATATTTATGGATAGTTGGGAAGATATGGCTTTACGAACATATAATCCGACACCTAAGATATGGTGGCGATATGTAGATGACACATTTACAGTGTTGAAATCGGAACATATCGACAGTTTCTTGACACACATAAACTCAGTAGTTAACGCAATCCAATTCACCTACGAAGTAGAAAATGAACAAGGAGAATTACCTATGTTGGATTGCAGAATAAAACGAAGGATAGATGGTGGTTTAGATACTACCGTCTACAGAAAACCAACACATTCTAACAGGTATCTAGACTTCAAGTCATCTCATCCAGTGTCAGTTAAAGCGGGTTTAGTCAAATGTCTAAATAACAGAGCTGAGAAACTCACTAGTCATTGTAAGGACTTAAATAAGGAATTGAAACACATAAAAGAAGCGTTAATAACTAATAATTATCCCCATCATTTTATTAAGAAATTCACACGGACGCATAAGAAGCAAAATAATAACACTAATACAAATACAAATAATAGTGACAACATAAGTAGAAAGGAAATCAGCACCTCTATTGTGATACCATACAAGGAAGGAACATCAGAAACCATACGTAGGATTCTCAACAAGGTTGGAATTAGGGTGGCATTTAAACCAACAAACTCACTTAGAGGTAAGCTTTGTCGGCTAAAAGATCCGATAGAACCAATTAAGCAAAATAATATAATCTACCAAATTCCATGTAATGACTGTGAAGTCAAATACATAGGTCAAACTAGCCGGTCGGGGTCAGTTAGATTAACAGAACATAGGAATTTAGCTAAACATAGAACGACAGACCCCAATAAGATCAATAACCTAGAAAAACACTCAGCCATTGCATTACATTCATTAACACACAACCACACAATAGGATGGGACAAAACCACTGTACTTAAGTCTAATATAGCTAGGTGGAGAGAGAGATTAATTACTGAATCTTTGTTCATCGAATTCACACCCAACACATGTAATAGGAATGACGCAACACCTATACCAGAGATATGGAAAACTTTACTACCAATCAAAAAACAAAAAAACAAAGAGAGATCAGGTGACAGGACTATAAAATCAGATGTCGAAAGAAGTGTGATTACATTGATATGATTATGAGCAATAATTTATGCTCGAAACGTAATCAAGTAAATAATACTGTATCACTGTGCGCTTTATATCAAATAAACAAATCTAATATGGAACTACATTCTACCACAGTGCCCAAGTTTTTCACTTATATTAATGAAACTTATGGTCTTCCTGTTCGAAGGCTAATCAATAAACTCACACGACTTTCACAAACTGAAGCACGTTTCACAAATCATCGTATTTTCAATATTCGTTGCATGAAAAATCAAATTATCCCTAAATACCTTCGCATACGAATCCCAATATATACTGACAAAATCCAAAGGGCAATAGAACATGTCAGCAAACTATGTCTGAAAGAAGAAATTCACAGGATTATTAAGAAATTAAGTACCATTCGGAATAAAATTGAACAACTTAAATGTAAAATTATGAAGATAGTAAACTGCAGAGACTATGGATTTATAATAGAAACATCAGACAAAGCAAGATTAGCTACTCTCAAGAAATCTAGAAAAAATCAAATCAAAAAGTTCAATAAACTAATGCAAGAAAAATATGCTTCGGAAAACAATGAAATTACAAAGGAAACATCATCGAACATCGATAGAACAAAGTGGGTAGTCAATCTCTCCTCGAAAGCCTTAAGCTCAGCTGAGATGAAAGTACTTGAAAAAGGACTAAACTTCAACATAACAGTAGATCATCTAAAACCAGAAGATGTCATACCTAGCATAGAAGTAGCATTAAGCTCGGTGGATGTGACAACTGCTGAACAGGTTAGAGCGCAGTGTGCATTAGCACTTAAAAAACAAAAGAAGACACAGCGAAACTTAACGAAACTGGAAAATTCAGCTTTAAACAATCTACGAAAGGATAATAGTATAGTAATTGCTAAATCTGACAAAGGTAACTCAACAGTAGTTATGGACAAATCGGATTATCTTAAAAAAATGGATGAACATATCCAAACAGGGCCATATGAAGAGATTAAGAAACCTATAGATACTGTCATGAATAAAATTAAGAAATCTACAACAGATCTGATACGCCGACTGAAGCCATCTCTAGGTAAGTCCGAATGGTTTACTTTAATGCCAAAAACTAATAATCCTAGCAGAATTTACGGTACTATTAAGGTTCATAAAGCAGGTTATCCCATTAGGCCGATAGTTGACTTCCGAAACACACCAACATATGAGATATCAAAGTATTTAGCATCAGTATTACGTCCTGTTAGAGACCGTTCCAACTCTAGACTAGTAAATTCTTACGAGTTGAAACAAAAACTTAATGACCTGCACATAGAAGAGGATGAAAAAATGGTTAGTTTTGACGTAACAAGTCTTTATACTAAAATACCAATCAATATGGCACTGGAGGCAGTCAGAAATCAACTAGATACTGACTCACAACTTACTCAAAGAACCAAGGCATCGGTTGGTGAAATCATGTTAGGAGTGCAGTTATGCTTAACCTCGACAGTCTTCAAGTTTCAGGGAAAGATATACAGACAAACAGAAGGAGTAGCAATGGGATCACCAATATCCCCTATAGTAGCAGATATATTTATGGATAGTTGGGAAGATATGGCTTTACGAACATATAATCCGACACCTAAGATATGGTGGCGATATGTAGATGACACATTTACAGTGTTGAAATCGGAACATATCGACAGTTTCTTGACACACATAAACTCAGTAGTTAACGCAATCCAATTCACCTACGAAGTAGAAAATGAACAAGGAGAATTACCTATGTTGGATTGCAGAATAAAACGAAGGATAGATGGTGGTTTAGATACTACCGTCTACAGAAAACCAACACATTCTAACAGGTATCTAGACTTCAAGTCATCTCATCCAGTGTCAGTTAAAGCGGGTTTAGTCAAATGTCTAAATAACAGAGCTGAGAAACTCACTAGTCATTGTAAGGACTTAAATAAGGAATTGAAACACATAAAAGAAGCGTTAATAACTAATAATTATCCCCATCATTTTATTAAGAAATTCACACGGACGCATAAGAAGCAAAATAATAACACTAATACAAATACAAATAATAGTGACAACATAAGTAGAAAGGAAATCAGCACCTCTATTGTGATACCATACAAGGAAGGAACATCAGAAACCATACGTAGGATTCTCAACAAGGTTGGAATTAGGGTGGCATTTAAACCAACAAACTCACTTAGAGGTAAGCTTTGTCGGCTAAAAGATCCGATAGAACCAATTAAGCAAAATAATATAATCTACCAAATTCCATGTAATGACT